CTGAAAGTAGCGGTGACTGTCCAGGCGTCACACGTACTTAGGTATCGTCAAGAGCTAATGGTCACATGTAAACAGCAGCTCATGTAAAGAGATTGTCCAGTCAACCGATGGTAGCGTAGACTGTCCAGGCGACACACGTACTTAGGTATCGTCATAAGTTAATATTCACATGTAAACAGCAGCTCATATAAAGAGACTGTCCAGTCAACTGATGGTAGCCGTGACTGTCCAAGCAACACACGCACTTAGGTATCGTCATATGCAATTTTTTTTATGTAAACTCCAACTCATGTGAGCCGTGTCTAGTCAACTGATGGTAGCGGTGACTAACCAAGCAACACACATACTTAGGTATCGTCATGAGCTAAATAATGTTCACCTGTGAACAGCAGCTCACATAAAGTGATTGTCCAGTCAACTGATGATAGTGATGACTGTCCAGGCGACACACGTACTTTAGGTATTTTCATGAACTTTTTGTTTCTGATATAATACTTAGAATGAGTATCGTCTGATGGGGTATAGATGATGTATAATTTAGAGTTGAAAGTGGGGCTCCTTTTTATGTGATGGAATAGCCAACGATAAGGGGATACCAGAGGAATTACTAGTGTCTTGCAAACTTGTAGGTAGTAAGCTTTTTAGGGATTAGGATTTCGAAGATTTAGAGATCGTGGAAGGGGATAAAGGATTGGGCCTCTGGTAACTTCACTCTCACGAAAGACAAAGCTGTGGTTGTTTCACGCTGGTTTTCTGTGAGACAGCAGATACGCCGGTCGAGTCTCTTGAAGAAAATGTTTTAAAAATAGGAAAATTTTTACGTAATTAGATATTCACGATTGAATTAAGTACTTTTGTTTGATGTTCATAGAGCCTTATTTAGCTGATCCGATCGTGTACGGTTGGCTAACCGGCGGTACGGTAACAGGATTTGTCAAACGTACCTACATATTATACTTGTTGGGAGACATTGACGAACTAGGGCGTAATGCCACGGTGGCCATGGGTTGGGGGAAAATTAATTTTGGAAACGATGGAAATTGTTTTTGATTTTAAAGAAAGAAAGAAAAAAATCCTATCGAATTGACTTACCTTGTTTTGAAAAAATAATTACTTGCGGATGGAAAATGTGTAGCAGCTCACGAGCTGCAATGTGAGCAGACGTATAACCTGATGGTAAGCAATCGGCGCCGCCCGTAGTACCAGAGGTAGTTTCACGCTGGTTTTTTGTGAGGCCGTGCTATCAGTCAAGTCGAGCCGACAAATTCGTGCTGAAGATTGGGCATCCGAATTTTTTTTTTTTTTTGGTATATAAAGGAACGTTGCCCCACATTAGGATTTTCTCCTGTGTCGTGGGTGCGTTTACAAACATACAAATTCACATGCACATATCACACCCAGACCCGGAACAACAATCTGTGGATCACACAAAGAGTTGTTCCGTGCGGGAATCGAACCCACGATACGTTGCGCGGCAGCCAGTTGCCCAGCCACCGCGCCAACCGTGCAGTCGTACTTTAAAATTATAGTGAGAAAAAAGCGACCAGTCCTATGAGTATGTTTCGGCATTTACTCTCAAAGTATTCAGTTAGCACAAGCCGTCTTAATTTTTTTAATTGACACGTAAATTTATTGTAAGAAAATAATAATTATTGTTTTGAAAAAGTCCTAGTATGGAGGCGCAGTGTCGCAACATTGCAATTATTAATAGACAAAATCGGTTTTTCTCTACTAAACCTACCTATAGGATACGAGAACCTAATATTATGAGACTATGTTAGGTTGTAATAAAGCTTTTTTTTTAAAAGGAAAACAAAAAGAAAGACAGTCCGCCATTTTCTCAAAATCATATCCACTCTACGACCAGCAGAAACCGTATCATCTCTAATTACGTTGGATTTGTTGCATAATGCTAATGAGTGTCTTTGTCGGGAACCGAACCTTGGACTCCTTGACATACACTTAGCATTGTGGCTTTATTAATTAGATAGTAATTAATATGTACTTAACATGTTTTTGTGTTTAGTTTTACATTTATAAATTGTCGTTTAGTTTCTGATAAGATTTTTTGTGGTTTAGGGCGACAAACATGTGTATACTTGTTTGTCGCCCTAAACCACAAAAAATAAAACACAAGATTATACAAATATCTATCAAATCTTCCTTTTGACCGCGGCTTCCCTCGTAATCTACATTCGGCATCATCCTCTATTTTATTTTCCTCTTGAATTGAACACAATCCTTTCTTAGCGGATGCCTATTTAATTAAATTTATTTGCATTCCAATTTTAAGCCCGAACCGCCTTGCCAGCCAGCTTGATGATAGACTAATAAGTCCGTCAGTCAGTCACCATTGAGTTGTTGGATATATTTAAACATATTATTACCAAGTGTGGTGATGAATGCTCAAACCTTCCGTGTGAGAAGAAGCCTTTGCTTAGCAGTGGGCAGTTATAGGCTGATGATGATTATTCACTCGAGGAATTTATTTATTTATTTGGGACTAACAAACAGAAACACATTATATTTGCGCAAGCAACATAAAGAAAGATCCAAACTAATATTATGAATGCGAAAGGAACTTTGTCTGCCTGTCTTTTCTTCACGTCTAAACTACTGAACCTATTTATGTGAAATTTGGTACAGACATAGTTTGGAACTTGAGAAAGGACATAGGATAGTTTTTATACCAAAAATCTGTAGGAAGTCACTATCCGACGCTAACAAAGTAGCGGGCAAAAGCTGGTATTATAGGTATAAATGTGAAACTTACAGCGTTATCCACAGCATATACCTACAATTCATATAACTATTTACTAATGAACATTCTATGCTAGTAAGACTACAAGACAGTTTAAATGACTATATGTACATCGGAATCCTTAAGTTTATCTTACAAAGCAGAACGAAATCTATTTGATTAATCCTAATAACAGCCTGTTTTTATAGTGTTTAAGATAATTATGTGTATTGGAGAAACTATATTATTGAGTGCAGAAATTAAAGCAGATCGGTTTTATGTGTCATAGTCAGTGGGCTGTCATGGCCAACTGGCGATGGCCGATGGCATTATCAGCTGATGATGATTGTTGCGGAGCAAAGGTACCACGGCCTTGGCCTAGAGCAGGAGAAGGAAGGTGGTTTTTAGTCAGTAAGAGTCTGACAACATACCTCAATTCCTTAAGACGAAAGTCTATAATCAATGTGTGTTACCAGCGATGATCTATGTAACTGAAACGTGGTCACTTACTGTGGGCCTTATAAAGAAGCTCTCAAGGTCGCTCAGCGCGCTATGGAAAGGGCTATGCTCGGAGTTTCTTTGCGAGACCGAATAAAAAACGAGGATGTCCGCAAACGAACAAAGGTTTCCGACATAGCCCCCAGTGTATTAGTAAGTTGAAGTGGCAATGGGCAGGGCACATAGCGCGTAGAACCGACGGCCGCTGGGGCAGAAAGGTTCTCGAGTAGAGGCCACGTACTGGCAAGCGCAGCGTAGGACGTCCACCCGCAAGGTGGACAGACGACCTGATTAAGGTCGCAGGAAGCCGCTGCGCTGGATAGCGAATTGGGGAGGCCTATGTTCAGCAGTGGACGTCCTGTGGCTGATATGATGAAGAGTCTGACACTCCCTTTCCCCTAACCCTGGGAGGATGATATTCTACGATTTCTACTCACAAAAAATATGGTTGCTTCTTTCTATCCAAGTTCGTTAGTCAGCTGTTAAGAGTTCAACAGGAAAATGTCTGTCCTGCCTTTACTATGTGACTTTGACATAGACTTTTTATGATTTTGTCTTAACTGGATTTTCTTATTTGTAGTTGTAGTCTGTTTAGCAAAGATAATATGAATACTTTTTCAAAAAAGGAGGTTTACATAGTAACATGACTATTAATTATTAACAAAAATACCATATATTATTATTATTAATCACAAGGTACCTCATTCCTCTTCATGATCCCTATGAAATTTATAAAATAACTTCAGTTACCATACGTTTTCATTACAAAATAATCGATTATTAATTGACAATCCAATACCCAAATCGAATGCTAAAAGCTTCATTAATAAAATCGATAAGAGAAAAAAGTAAAAAAAAAAAAATGTTTATGCGAAATAAAATCATTTGGCATAATTAGCATAAAATTATAAATGATTATAATGTGCTGTATGGCCGGTACGATGTTTCGGCGTCATACCCTTTTACGACTATAAACCAAACCAGTTGTGGACTTTTTTCAATGGCCGCCTATGGATGCGTTCATGAACGAGCAAAAAGCTCTTTATTCAAAAACTGTTTCGAATTAAAATCGTTATTTTAATTCTAAATTTAAATTTTAAAATTGTGTATCATTTATAAAATAAAAGTTAAATGATTGGATTACTGAATGAAATCATAAAAGTGTCGAATATTTGTGCGGCACATTAAAAAAGATGGCGACGAAACGAAAGCTCGACTAAGCTCGGAACGCGTCGTTACCGAGGGGCGAGCGGTGTCGCGGGGGAGAGGGACGAGCATGCGTACCGAGCCCGCGGGTCGCATTCCAGTAGTTCGGCCGACCACCGCGCGGCGCTTACGTACCCGTACTATTCCGCGTCGCCCGTTCTCAATACAAAGAACACCTCTGTATTGTAAAAAATCTGTGATGTATTGATTAATTTCAACTTTATCCTCTCGCTAATAACCCTCTAACGACACAGTGAAGTTCAAACCAGTGTTAAAATCAAATAAAACGTTGTTTCCAAAGCGTTTTGAACGGGCCACGTCCTATGAAATTCCTCATTTATCGTTGAATAGAATCTAGCGGTCGGAGGAACATGGAGGGCCCGTCGCGTCGTCTCTGAATGGATTGATCGTGTTTTATATGTGAAATTGTGGACGTTCCGTGGTGTTTAGTGATATTTGAATGTAAATATGGATTGGTGTATGTGTGAAACAGTGTAGGTAGCACCGAGTTCGTAGCGTCTCCGTCGTATTATGCGCGTTGAGTAAACCAGTCAGAATGGTTTCTCTCACGTACTTCGGCCTCCGTCACACGCCGTGGACCGTCCTGGTGCTGATTTTCTTCATCGAAAGCGTGATGGGGAACTATGCCAAGTCATTCTACATACATTGGAATACCACAAACAGCATATTTAGAATAGACAACACGGATCATGTTTTCGACTTGAATAAAGGGAACGCGCAGTTCGAGTACGACCAAGTGAATATAATATGTCCAGTGTATACACCAGGGACTTTTGAAGAGGACACTGAAAAATATATAATTTATAATGTGAGCAAAGAAGAGTACGATACGTGTAGGATAACAAATCCGAATCCCCGGATTATAGCTATATGCGATAAACCGCACAAATTGATGTTTTTCACAATCACCTTCCGGCCGTTTACCCCGCAGCCGGGCGGGCTAGAGTTCCTGCCCGGGAAGGACTACTACTTTATATCGACCTCTAGTAAAGACGACCTGCACAGACGCATTGGGGGTCGATGTCTGAGCCATAATATGAAGCTGGTGTTCCGGGTGTGCTGCAAGCCGGAGGAGCAGTCTCCTCCGCCGCAGCCCCAGCCCACCCTGCCACCACCCCCGCCGCCACCAACCACCCCATCCACCACCACGACCACGACAACAATGAAGCCGGTCACTAAAAAGACGCACAAGTATGACAAGACGCCGAATGAAGTTATCAAGAGTGAGGAGTTGTCTCACTCGCGCGGGGCTGCTTTGGCTTCGTCGCTCGCTCTCGCCCTGGCCGCGAGCGCGGTTTTAGCGCCCCTGGCTCGGTGAATGTGCGCCCGGGCGGCTCGACCACCGCGACCCGACCTCGTCGACAAGCCAGGCCCAGCACAGACTCTACATACGCTGCATTTGCGCCCAGACACTCTGATTTACACGTGAATATGTGCGTAAAAAACAGTGTTAGAAGTAAAACTAAAGTGAACATTGTGATGTGCCCCAAGGATTGTGGATCTAACTCGAGTAGTAAGTAATCGAATGGTGATGAAGGGATGTGCAAAACTCAAGTTCCGATCAAGTTCCAAACGACAAAACTTTAGCCTGTAAGGGACACGAAAGCCTAATTTTTATCTAATTAATATGGGCCTACTGAGTAATCAAACTAATTTGTGAAGTTAATTTTCATTAGACGTCAAACCGTAGACTATCAGTTAAATATTTATATATAAAGAAATGTTAACATGTATGATAAAATTAGGTTTCTTAAACCATTTAGGAATTAACGATTTTTTATATTTTTCATTATGCAAAAGATATTTGTAATAAGACTTAGGGTTCTTAACGGATCAATGCAGACTATAGGAAATCGTATATAAAAGAGAATTAGGTAGCTTTTTCTTAATTTTTAGTTCAAAAGACAAGTTTTTTTTATTAATTTTCAACACGACAGATATTGCATTAATTAGAATTTATTTATAAATATAAATGAAAAAACTTGGGCAAGTGCAGAGTCTTGTCCCGATCACTGTGATTTTGGTTTTAGTATTTTTTTCTCTTTATAAAATGCTTTTATTATGTGATATATTTACCTTTTATGTATTAAAAGTGAAGCCTCTTTCACCTCATTTCTCTTGACTGATTTTGCATTTCAGCTTTTTAATGTTTATTTAAATCAAATGAACTAAATATAAAACGCTAAGAACGAAAGCCGCTATCTTTGAATAATGGCTGTAAAGACGCCATTTTAAGGTCGAAATAGCTAATGGAATATTTAAAAAAGATGGTGGAAAGCGTTTTATAGTTAAATAAAATAACGATTGAGACCTACACCTATTTTGAAGGAATGGAATTTTCAATTATGTTCAGATAACACTGAAAATTCCATTTTCTTTTTTGCTAGACACAAAAAAGCACTCTCGTGCCATTTTGGAAACGTGTTCAATAATAACATGTTTTAACAATAATAATGAAATAGTCAAATAGTTTAATTGTAGATGAAATAGACCGGTTTTCTTTTAGAAATAACTCAATAGTGACAGTTGATATAATTTAGGTAGCTGATAAGAAAACATTTGATAATTCAAATTGTATTGAGATTATGAAATAAAACTAATGTAATTCCTCGAACAGCAACACGATATTAGTCAAATTACTTGACACAATCGATTTTAATGATAAAGAGATAGAAACAGATCAATCAGATGATATTTCCAAAGTAATTCGTGAAGACGAGAATATCCTGTAAGTTAAAACTAATTACAGTTTGGCAAAAACAAAGAAATGCGTGGCAGAATCCACATTTAAAGGAATTCAGAGGAAAGCTTATTAATATGAGTCATTGCATAGGACTGATATTCGACCTATCCACGGCAAGCCCATAAGTCATTTCAAATGTGACATTTGCAGCAATCTATCTCAATTCTCCAAGATTTATTCATAATAAATAAAGGAATGCAATATCAAGAAAAAATGTGTACTCTATATCAATATTGAAAAAGAGTTTCCATAACTTTTGGTACGATTCGAAAAGCATCTGGCCGTAAAAGAAAGAAATAAACGTTCCAAATATAAACTGCAGCTAATTAGAGATAAAAAGAACGTGACACTAAAAAGGTTTCATTATCTTTTTTTAAAAACAAAACGGTTTTTAACTGTGACTTTGGTCGTGCATTGTTTTCTAAACAAATGTCAGTTAAAAATAGTTTGTTGCGTTGAGGCGACATCACTATCTCAGAGTACGAGCTGTCCTTGTCCCTGTGCTATCCCTGTCATTAGATTATTGGTAAATGGCATGTTTCATCAGTCATTTCCCTTCTACATAAAACTAGCCTTTGCTATGTATTCAATCTATATCTTTGCAAAATTCCATGCAATTTTTTTTCGGTTTCTACCCCTGGACATCCGAATATTCGCCCTGATTTCTAATAGTCTTTGCCAAATACAATAACAAATCTTAAAATCAACTCGACCGAGTTTTTGATAACCATTAAGGTACGGATAATCGATTTAAGATTTTGCTATTATTTGGACTCGAAAAATAAACAAAACACTCGTTGAGTTGTACAAAATTTGCCCTCGATATCAGTGCGATATTACAAAAAGAACATTTGAGTCGAAAGATTTCTCTTCGGATACTCGTCTTCAGATAAATCTGTCAATTTCACTTCGAAATGATTCTGAATTCTATTTTTATAATGAATCTGTCATTATCTGTCATTAAAAGTTAGGTGCGTAATTTTGACTAAGCTTTTCAAAAATTTACTAATTTAAGATTGTTCTAATTATTCAATGACGTTGCTTTGTATCATGTTTGAAAAACAATGAATGACATACATAGAAAAAAATATGCACATCACACCCAGACCCGGAAAAACTATTTGTGGGTCATATAAAGATTTGTCACTGCGCCAACCGTGCAGTCAAATTACTTACACGATAACTACTAATTCGATTTAAAAGAAATTTTGTAAATATACCGACCATGACCATGATTAACGCATTATTAATTTTCATCCCAGTTTTATGTCAAAACTGTTCTAAAAATATCTGATTATCTTACTCGTCCTCCTTTGACCAAAATTCTCAATTCTCATCGTCAACGGATATTGGTATCGTTACAAATCTTTTATTGTTTGCATTTCACATGTCATGAGCGGAAGGCACTGGACAAACACAGACTTATTACAAAATACACATTTTTACCACGCCTTTGTTCGAGAAAACATCCTCTACTTTACGTTTTACTATGCGTCATTGTATTGGGAAGGTGTAATATTGATTTTCTGCTAATATGGCGATTTTTTCACCATTTATTAAACCTATAGTATCTATCTACTTAATGCCATTTACTGTAGTCACTTCAAAATTTTGGTCCCATATCATCATTGTAAAAGCTAGTAACTTGCACAGCAAGTAACTTACAGAAATGTTTCGAAAGTTCGAATTCGATGTCCAAAATTAAACTGAATAGCCATTTTCTCTGTTCCTAGAAAATACATGCGTTTTCGTAACTGTAAGCATTTGTACTGGCAAAAGCTTATGCAATTAAACTCAGTAGAATATGCAATATGGCTCCCAAGACTCTTAAAGACATGTGAAAGCATGAAGCAATAAATTGTACGGAACAAAAGACTAGAGTCTTTACAAATATTATTACTTACTAGTATTGGTCGTTATACTAACGACTTACGTATTAAGCGTAACCTCTTGTTTTCGTCTTCAGATGTTTCGAAACCTTTCTAGTTAGTATTAACTTCTGCTCAACCAATTTTGGTTAACGATAGCTGATTTAGACTCTAAAATTTTATGTTCTAATTGCCCGTTGTTTAGAATGCTAAGTGCGCCACGGTTCAATTTTTCTTAAATTCGTATATTTTGAAAATGAATAACTAGACTCCAGTCTGCGCACTAACAATTTTATCTAAAAATGTTCATTTCTCGATTTAGGAATTGCAATTCCAAAATTCACATTACGCACATTAATATTCTTCAGGTAGACCTAAACATTATGTCGTAAAAGTAGTATAACCGGCAAGTCTAACTCCGGCCTTTACACAAGTGACTATAAAACCTATTTTCTTTTACTGCTAATAAATGAGGAAAAAGTTACTTGGAGTCCCTCAGGGTTACATTATAGGCCCCATCAATAAATTATCAATAACATTGTTCTTACCTTTCATCGTACATTGAAATTAAAACTGTCCCTGTCTTTAACACCTTCCAACAACGACTTTCAAGCCTCAGATCTATAATTTGATAAGATTAATGAATCGATAAGGAGAATAATAGTTTCCATTTTTTCTGTTCTTTGCTATTGGCGACTTTTGGCTAATACATATCTAGGTTCCTTATAAGTAAGGATGTGGCCTTCTATGGAGAAAGCAGACTCAAAAGCAACCTTCAATTTTAAAATTATCTGTACATTATTATTTGAAGCTTGGTTGGTTAGTTATTTATATTCAGTCTATTCTATTACTTTAGGGATTATCGTGCGTGATGTTATGTTGACTTTTTATAAATCTCACACATCAGGATGTAACCTCAGAGCAGGTATTACAAGTAACCATGTACAGACCGTTGAGTGGTTCTATTTTTATTTTAAACCAAACAGTTAAATATCTACTTAGCGTTTCTGGGTACAGCTCGTTTGTTTTAACTTCGCCTTCAGTTATTTTCAGTTCCTGAAGGGTTTGTGAACGAACCAATCTTGTATGGCGTGTTTGTAATAATTTAAACTGTGTTATTTTTTTCTATATACACATCTTCTTGATGTCTTCGAGTTGTTAAAAACGTCGGAGATTTCTTTTCTTTTTTCGCTTTCTCTTGTTTTTGAATTAGGATTGAGTTGTGTCGGTTTTTGGAAAAGGGTTTTTCGAAGTTAATGTGTCGTTAAAGTCTTGTTCTGTTGTTTTGTTCATAAATTATCAAAGTGTGGGCGCTTTTGGTGTTCCCTGTGTCTTATAGCTATATTAATCTGTGATTCAATATTCTTGTGGAATCATAATAATTAATCTTGCTACGTGGATATTTCTATGACGATAAATGTAAGTTTCTGTTATAACTGCCTGTCGATCCGTTAGTGATGCTACATGATCTTTTCAAAGCATATTTTTTATGGTGAACAAGCTATAATCAATACTTGCTCTTCTATTCTATTTAAGATTCAAGCAAGCATCATTAAAATAATTTAACCAATTTAATTGCTAGGATAAATACCACAAAACGGTAAATATTGCTTGAATAATTTTTAATTGTACTGTAACTGTTTTCTTCGAAATTATGACTAAGAAAGTTATCATACACATCTCATTCCTTTGCAAAATGTTTTACTAGTTTTGCGTACTTGATGAAATAATTATAATTAACATGTTTTTCTGTAAAGGAACCGCCTTCAATTATTCTATCGTCATTATGAATGGATTGAATAATTTCACTATTAACTCCTTTGAAGTCTTGATCACGATTTGATGTTTTTGCGTCTTTAGAATTTACTTTTTCTATTATAAAGTTAGTTTCAGAGTATTTATTTCGAATAAATAGTTTTTTAATGTTTTTGAAAGTTGAAATTGTTAATGGTTCATAATTATTTCCTTTGTGGAAGAAGTAGACAGTGTTCATAAAAAAAATACTGTTTATTATTTACTATATAAAATGGGATATTGCCAAAAATCGATCAATTTTATAGATAGCATTTGAATTCCAAATCTCAATTCTT